CCCACCCAATAAAACTTGTTTTGAAAACGGTAGTTTCGACTTAAAATTCATCGTATCAGACAAATATAACCCTCGTTGCATCCCAATTCGCTGATGTTTCGAATCACATATCTTTTGAGGCAATGTGATTCTTGAATAAGTCTGAATTAAATGTGTCTTTAGTATCATTTGCCACTAAGTGACGGCCAATCCACAGCCTTGTTTACTTCACAAATCGGTGTAAACAATCACTGTGGTCCAAAACTAACTCTAGGCCAATCATGAATAAATGGAGAGATGAAAAAATACATAAGTTGAAATATCATGAGTTCACTTCACGAGTGAACTTATACGGATTTAATATAGGTAGACGCAGAGATAATAGAATCAAGACCACGAACGGACCATCCTGGTAGCACAAAGTTCAAGTCGTAATCCGAGCTGAGCCATTGCACATCCAAGTAATAATCCACCTCAATTTCACTAATGTTTCGAACAGGATCATAATGAATTTTATTTATAAGCAATTGCAACATTAGATGAATATAATTTTTCCCATTTACCAATCAATGCATTTTTTAAAATTTGCATCAGGATTTAATCTACAATTTCGAGGCGTTAAATTTATCTCTGAATAAACTTCGGCTAAATAAGCATGCGGTTAGTATTTGAAAGCTAAAACCTGGAATATGTTTGGAGGGCTTATGCACAATTAAGAATAACTAGAAAAACCATCCATTATGTGTAATTAGTTCCGATATATTCCTGGTTGGTTGAAATGCAGTCTATTGTAATACATATATCATAACATACATATATCATTAGTCATATCGCAACTGTTTCACTTTTCAGAATCCAATTATACATCGGATTATATACTGTCAGATTCCTGTTTCTCTGAAATAAAGTATTTTCACTTGAGGTTGGATAACGTGCAGGTTGCTTCCAAGGTCGTTACTATATATAAGTTTAGGAGCCGCTCACAAAATAAATTTATCGACTTTTCAAAACATATTTGAAATTGGGTCTATTTAAATATTTCGATCTGGACACGTATATTATTACCTATTCAAAAATAAGCTGACTGCACTAAAGACAGGCGCTGAGACAACACGGAAGCGGCAAAATCTGAAAAATCAACTGATAAATTATGTTTTCAGATTGACTGGATTTACCTAATTTCATTGAGTTTGAGCACGTTTAGTGTGGTCGAATATAGTATCATCTTTTCAAATATGAGCTGATTCCACAGATGCTAGGCGTTGATTTAAACGCGGAAGTGCCAAAATACCAATGGACTAATTGTTTTGCAAAGTATTTGCAGAAATAAATTGACGTGATACAATGTTAAATTGATGGAGCAATTCCACTCAAATAATATCCATGCATGTCGATTTGTGCTGTTAATATTTCACCAATTTTTCTTTAAATAGAGATTTTCTTTGTGTTATTAAAATGCTTAAACTTGCTAAAAAAAAATATAAATTCAAAAAAATTATCGCGAAAGGCTGGTCTACGCAGTTGGGTTCAAAATAAGACGGGAAAACACTGAATTCGATTACCAATTGTCTTTTATATCGACCCTGAGTGAAATAGTGAATAATTTTGTTAAAAATTTAAATTGCGAAAAAAACTAATCAAGCTAATAATCCCTGTGAAAGTGATGAAATAACTGCAATGGATAATGTATAAGGCGAACGGTATTAAGTTAATATAAATATGTCATCTATGATGGTTCATGCCTATCGCCAGCGTGAATTTGAGGGGGAAAGTGATGGGAGGGGTAATGAACCGCAACCTAGACGTCCAAAACTTGACTTTTTAAAATACTACAATTTTAACTACCAATGCGAATACAGTATACAAGATTTATTATCGCAACAAGAGTTGTGACATGTGACATGGAGCGGACAGTATGGGGTTTGAGTCGATCATGACCAGTAATCATGTCTTGAGAACAGGATCGAACGCATTGAACAGGAGTGATTCAGCGATATGAGTGTACATGAGATCGATATACATTCTTGGCGTTTCACTAATGTCATCAGGTGCTTTTTCAGGAACGTTTTCACTGTAAAGATTTCAGAATGAAATTATTGTAAGTACTAGATTGGAATTGTTGGTTTTGTCATACCATAAAATTTCTCTTAAATATCCGATTGTAATCAACACACCATTTCTTCTGTTTTGCTCATATTATTTATAAGATATATAGTGAATATGCGTCCATGTTGCCCTGGCGTGTCTACAATTTGAAACAATTCCAGTCATACCGTTCATGAAAAATTTTTGGAATGCAGAACAACGGATGTTCAATAACATTTATATTCAAAACGAATATAAATAGAACCATATTAGATTCGGGTTCATTCATTGTGATGAATAAAAATCATAAATCCTTTTTCAATATGGCTGTGTATAAAGCATTCGCTTTTACCTATCGTCCATCAAATGCCTAATTCGGATCAGGGACAGTGTTAGCTGAAGAGTGATTTCTCATATTTCTCACGCGCCACCAGTCTTAAACGCTAAGCAATAATAATTTTCTATATCAAATGAGCTAGTGGAACCCGGAAAAATACTATTTAGTTTGCAAATATGTATTCTGTATTCTATTTCCTACAATCTAGTTGGCGTAGATTTAATTCCGTGAAATTTTGAATCAGAACAGTGTAAGTTTCGAAGGATAGTGCATGTTTGTAATTAACGTTCGTGTGATCATCAATATATATTTTTCAATATTTTCTTATTTATAGCATTTAAAAATACTTTCTCGGCTTTCCTTAGGGCGAGGTTTATTTAAGCCCTCATATTTGTTGGCTTTGTCTTGTTCTGGACTGACTTCCGGCTCCGTATCCTATTTAATTTTGTTCTTACCTCAACGACATCCATTATCAATTTTCACCTTCAAGATTCAAGGGGTTTGTTTGCGAAACAAGCTCATTATTCACCATTTTCTAAAATCCCTTTCGCCACCTAAAAGAATTTCGTCTAGTCTGTTATGTTGGTACTGACTCAATTATTTTTGGGTTCCGATTTATGATATTGTCCAGTTAATTTGTTAAGACAATTTTGAGTCGGCAACTTCCCGGTTTTCCAGGTTTCGGTCACCCTCAAGGATTAAACTCATTTAAGGACTAATCATGCATGTTTTCATGTTCTGAATACAATGCATTTTTTATGCCAATCATTTAATTTATAATTAATTTCACTGATTCAACAATTTCTTTTGTAATCTCCGTTGTTTATTTCACTAGTCTGCGGAAGAGATGGTCGTACAATGTTCGCATCTAGGCAACGAGTCATTTAGTTGCGAGTTTAGTAGGTACATAAAAACGGTACTTTGATGTACATATTATACGCTAAAATGATGAGAAAGCGCAAGATTAGTATTCCAAAGTTGGATCGGAAGATACAATAGATGTTAGTAATATCGGCATTTTGATATAAAAAAGATAACGATATGACTGGGAAAAAGAAATTTTTCAGTTTAATTCTATAAATCGACTTTTCAAAGACAAATATATATCGGTCTTCAACACGATTATCCAGTCCTTTTCAAAATGGCATTATCATTTTTGATTTAATGCATTCAACTAATTACTGCGAAGTAGTAAAATAAAATATCATAACAAGCTTGTGATTATAGACGACGCTGTCCTTCGTCCACTTTGCCTAGGTTTGATTGCTCGATATCGCAGAAAGGGTGCCCGCCACTTTTCTAATTAGATAGAATTAGGATGATGATCCTTATGGTTTTGGATTTTTAAGTTATTGTTGCTAATAAATTTGATAAAGTACTCGCTGGAATTTTTATGAAAGATGTAATTGAGTTTATGGTACTTTGATTTAGATGTCCGCCTAACAATTTTGAAAAGTTTTCTTTAATTAATCGTTTACCAGGTGAAATTCACCGGTGAACCGTTGTTGTTATATTAGTGCACCACGAGTCAACATCGCTCTCTGCTTGTTTACACTTCTACAAAAAAATTAGCATGCTTTGGATATCAAGAAGTATGTTAATGTTACCGTTTCGATGGGGCCGACAGGACTAGGATTTAGGACTGTGAGCTAGATCAGTCTCGCAGCCAGTTGGTGTTTCAAAATACTTAAAAAATGCCTTGTTTTCTTGGAGCTAGTTTTGTTATAGTCGTCAATTGGTTTTGTCAGGGTGGCAGGTATTCAATTGGACATCGGAAATATTTATGTTGGTTCTGCTAGTTCTGAAGTATCTGTCGACTTACTCGGATCTGTGCTACGAAGACATCGATAATTATTTTTCTTTCTTGCGGAGTTGGTCGTATGGCGGCGTGACGTTGAAGATTAAACGAATACCAATTGAGGAACAATGACATTGAAAAACGAAGTTTAAAATTCTTCTAATCTCTGGTGCCGACTGACCGACTCATCTCAGCTCATAAATCTACGCTTCTAAAGCAAAGTGAACAAACGAACGACTGCGGGGTTTTGGATTTTCTTGACGACGACGAAAGATATGTTGAAATTCTCTCTACACAATGTTCTCATTTACAAAATGAAATGACATTATGTACACTGAATACGAAAGAAAAAGGCACTATTATTTTGTTCTGAGAGCACTGCGAAAGATAAAAAATGTTATCTTAATGATGATTTGGATAATGTGAATTGCAAAAATTTCGCTTTAAGCTCATTTACCAACAGAAACGACACTCATTTCGTACATACATGCCATTTTATCCGCTATTGGTTTCTATCTAATTAAGGTAACACTGGTTAAACGAGAAACACTTAAATCAAAATAAATTTTAATCAGCCGACTGGTAATGGCACGAAATAATAAACAAACAAAAATGAGAAAAAAACACAAAACTGATAAAAGGCTTTGTTTACGCCGATATTCCTGTCAACGAAGAGATGATAAAATTTCCCAATTAACGAGAGTCGTCAAAATAAACCTGGGTCAAATACAAAGTCTATCTCCTCATTGCTAGCTATCTTGCATTCACTGACGATATGGTAACGTACAAACACACAATCTATGATTTTGACCAAAATATATTTAGAAATAAACAAAGAACCTATTTTATCAGGACTATTTCACGACTTAAGAAACTTATACATACACAAGCATTCGAGATAAATGTGACGCGAAATAGTCGGTGCAATAACAACGTGGACATAATATGTCGTTTTTGTAGATTGTGAGAAACCCAAAACTATACTTAACCATGGTTTCATTGAACATAAATTCAAAAAATAATCTTTTTCAGGCATCATTGCTTCCTAAATCTCATGATTGCTTCCTAAAACTAATATGGATTCAGCGCTCAAATGAAGACAAGTTTGCATTCTAACGTCTAAGTTCATGCAAATGAAGAATCAAATTAGATATAGTTTGAAATACTCATATTATGGAAGATTCTAGTATTTAGGTCAAAGCATTCAGAACTTGTCATTTAAAATATTGCTGATATCAAATAAAATATAGTTGAAACACTGGTAACTGCGTTACGTAACATAGTTGTGTCGGTTCATGGTTCGTAAAATTTATTAACATGTGGCGTGGCTTGATCACAAATTAAACGACGTTGATTCAATGTTAGTAAGTGTTGTCTTTACATATCCTCAATTCACATTCCGGGTGTTGCTCTGATTTTATGCCCTCGAAATGTTGTTCCCTCTGTTGCAACAATTTCAATCTGAAATTGTTGATATTCAACCGATAAAATTGGTATTTGGATCATTAATATTGATTTATAACACTCTTCTAGTTTTATTTGTAATCAACACAATATTATGCAGTTCCGGCTTACAATAGTTTTTAAAAAAGGAGTATTTTAGGAATATATGTCTAAATACAGCCCTTACCATAGATTCTCTTGGCATATCCACCGTTTCAATCATTTTCTGCCATCCCATATGAGAAATCCGTTGAAATTCACAGTTTCACCGTTCGCAAGCCCAATGGTTGTTTTTGGATCGACCATCATGTGGCAAGCGGAACGAATACAAAAGCATTCACGCAAGCATTTGGGCCCTCTCAGAATTGCTTTAAGTCTTTTCTGGTCTGCTCCCTTCCATGTAGAGGTAATCTCTGTTAACGATTTAAAAATAAGTTGAGTTTATAGGATAACTTGGATGCCAAATTTAGGTAAATTTACGACACCGTGAATTTATAACTATGTTAGATGCCTAATATATTGGGAGAGATAAGAGCAACTCAGAAGAGCAGCACTTTCACGGAGAAAACGAAATATAATTTGAATCGGATGTTCTGAGATATGATTTTGATAATAAATATTTATAACAAACAAGATTTTAACTTCTATAAGTTTGAAATACTTTCCTTTTAACTTACGTCCATCAAGCGCCCAACCTGGACTGGTATTAGGTGAAGGTGTTTTTCCCATATTGGGCAGCCACATCAGGTCGCCGCTATTATTTTAAGACATTGGATGTACAGATAGAAAGAAAATACTTTAATTTGTAATTTAATTCCTAATAAAGTACAATTAATTCTTCTGATAGGTAATTTTTCTGTTGAAACAAACGATTTGTTTTATTCTTATCTTTCTTTCGGAATATCAGCAGTTACGAATTAATCAAATAGCAACAGCTAATCATAAGTTAAAGCGGAATGACTGAAACATGAGCCGTCGCCAAATCCTTACATATAAATATGCTTTGCGTTAAATGATAATAGATAAGTTCCCTCGGCAGTGTATTAGATAATTATTTAATATAACTTCATTCACATTCTAATTATTTGATTATTTAAAAAAAAACAGGATATTCTAGGATCAATAATAAACTATTATTAACTTTTTTGGCCGGTTTTAGCAATCCCCTAATCAGAGCTCAACAAAAATCATTCGTTGCAAAAAAATGGATTTCTTAAAATTCGAAGTCAAAAATATTCAAATATGAGCTTCAAAATAAAAAACTTTGTCGTAAGGTGTCTGTAACAGGTAGATATTTTGAGAGATAAAGCACGTGATTTTTACTGGGTTAATTTGGGGTATAATTATCATTGAAGATGCCAACGTATTTGCAAAATAAGAGAGCGATGCTCAAATATATGGGCACGGAGTAGTCTGTCTATCATACCGGTACCCGCAGTGTTCACGACTTCGCTGGACCACAAGATCGCACACGCAAACGCGGATTCGCCACAAGTAGCGCTATTCTTAACTGTAATGACAGAAACGAATCTCTCGGAGCCACAGAAATTTTTAAAATAAATAAAAGTCTTCTAGAGGAAAATACAATCTTTAACCACTGAACATTTCAGAGCAATTGGTGCAGCAATTAAAAAGGAAGGCGATTTTTTTTAAAAGGATAAGACAGAAAAATTCTAACAACAAAAACAACAGCAGCATAAAAAAAACTATCCATAGGTCCACTATGTGTCCAGTAAAAGCAGCAAATAATCCCTACACGAATACGCAACATGGAAGATAGCAGGAGGTGATATCGTGGTAATAAGCGTGACTAACAATTAGTAGTACTTATTATAAAACGCATGTGTTGTACTTAAACGTCATGTGCGTTCTTGAATATTTTAATACGGTAAATTTGCGATCTTTCAGTTTAAGACTTGTTACAGCCTTGGACTATGAAATATGCAAGTCACCGTGCCTATGAAAAAATGCCTCGTATTTTACGCAAATACTCTGGTTATTTACCTGATACAAGTTTCTTATAGTCGATTTTTTAATTTTGGATCTTAAATATGTTTTGCTGTTCAATTGTTTATTTTCGTGATGTTCCTGTTACTGTTACGGAAGGATTATTTATTTGAACTTTTATGAAATATTAATTAAAATTATTATGAGCTATTGATGACTGGATGGATAAAGCAAACAAAACTTTTATATAGCCTCACTTGTCAAAAAATTGCATTAATGATACTTCAAGTGAATATAACAACTGACTGTCCTAGATTTTGTTAAGAATACAAATAAAACAAGATAGTGATTCCCAAGTGAAACCGCAGAAAGTGCTCCCATATGCCATATAAAAGTGCTTCTATACGCCGTATGAATTTGTTCTCATATATTTGATCGAATATAGCAGCAAATTGTTGTCCCATGAGACTTGGAGACAATTTGTACTAATGTGTACATTTTTCGTATTGAAAAATTTTTTTTTTTGAGCTCCCGAAATATGTGCATCAAGATGGCGCACAACCTGAACTAACGTGATACACAAACTTTGTCCAGGGTGTGCATTATCTTGGTGCACATACTTGGGGTGCACTCTTTTTTCAAGCTCTAACAACAATTAGCAACACCAAAACAACGATGACAACAATGCTTTGTTAAAAAAATGTATACGTTTTCTATCTCCACTCATGAAAATTATGGACGTAATACGATAACACAAGATAAAGTATCAGGATAAATGTTCGTCTGTGCTATTTTGTTTGGTAAAGATAAAATTTACAACGTGTAGTAACAACACGATAATCTCGTAATTTTCATGAAGTGCTGAATGCCAGGCACTGGCCATATTGGAAATATTTTCAGCTGGGCCACAAACTTACTGGGCCACAAGCAACGCAGAAGAAACCTTGTGTTGTAACTTTGCAAATAGAGTTTTGTCTGTAAATTCAAATATATATAGTTATCGAATATATTGTTTAATGATACTCGAATTTTGATTATTTTATGTCCTCTATAAAAATGAAAAACAACTTGGAATTAATTACTATTAACGATAAGAAAGAAATTTTAATTGTAAGCCGAAAGGGTTCAATGAACCATAGTTATAAGTGCACGCTTCATCGTTGTTTAAAATTAAACTCATTTACATCGATTATTTTCATAATCCAAAGTTTTGTCAAACCTGTCAGCGTTCATGAACTCATCGTGAAATTGATCTTTATCAGCGGCCCAAACTTGGAGTTATAATAAAGTAAAATGTAAATTTACATCATGGCAATAAATTAAGCTCGCAAGCCATGATGACTTGCATATATTATTATAAATTAATTAACGTCATATTATTGAAAGCGATTGAATGAAAAACATCCGCTGTATTGTTTGCATTCTTCTCTATACGTTTCAGCAGGAAACAATAAAGTGCAGTATTACGATATGCTGTAATATGGGATTACCACTATTTATATTATACCGACTGGTTTTAAAGTGATATTTATTGCTCCATACATAGGTCAGCATTGAACTTCTAATTTCTAGCGCTGGTTATTTACATTATACTTTCCATGTTCCTAAAATTGTCGATAGAGCGACCAGACTAGATAAAAAAAAGCATTCTAGATAGCAAACTACAACGTTACGGCAATTTGAAAACCTAGGTAAAGCTAAAATAAATTATGTGCACGGCTACACTATTTGAATATGCAAAGTATAAAAAATGTTCTGAAAAATATATGCCAGCCAATTTCATTGTAGTCTGTTCGTCAAAAAAATTAAATTTGATACTTAGCAAAGGGCCAATAAGGACAACAGAAACCGCGAATCATGCCTTACCAGAACATATATATCCCCGGGCATTTAGATAGATGACTTGCTAAAATTTAATTTTCGTTTCCAGATATCTACATTTTTTGTAAATCATTCTCCACCCCATTTGGAAGGTAAAAAAGTTGAAAAATGAGAAATAGATTAGTAGAATTTGGTAGATTAATGTCGTCGGAAATGGCACTTTAATCTGTGTGTTGGATATTTTAGAGGAGTAGCTATTGTTTGTTATGTACTTTAAAATTGTAAGCAAAGTCAGCGTTATATCAAACACACACACATGAAACTTCAATTTGCAATTCATTTTTTTTAGAAATTCATACTTTACTTGGTCATGCCGCCTGACTTAAAACAAATTTTACTGTCACTGTACTTGCGGCTAGGTAACAAAGTACGACGAAACAGTATTTTAATGCATATTTGTTGATGTACATCAGGACGAAAGGCCATAGCATGGAAGATTGGAGATTGGAACGATAGGAACGCTTTTCTGATTTCGACAGCAAAACTGGTTAGTTATGGTTGTGATAAACATAACATAAACCAAGTCTGGATATAAATGAATGCAGAAATTATTCCCGAGGATTAACGCTTTAACAAGATCGTAAAAGGATTGAAGTTAATTGCGGGAATCATTCCTGGTTCTAATAGTATGCACCAGTGTTGAAGACCCTCGTTTCCTAATCTCGAGTCACAATTTTAAAGACCCAAATTGTTTTATAAACAAAACTATTCACCTAAATTAGCACCTGACTAATCACCATATAGACCAGCGGTTCCCAACCTTTCTATCCTTGCGGACCGGTAAAATTAAATTGAATTTACTCGCGGACCGGCAAAAAATTGAAATGACCGGACAGAAAAGAATAACATATATTTGCGTAATACAATGCAATGTCGGGCACTCAATATGCTTCTAGACAAAAAGGCACAATTAAAAACATTTCACAAGAAGAAAACTATCAAATAATGTGCCGGCCAAAAATTGAAATGAAATAATACCATATCTTTGCGTAATGAAATGCAGTGCTGGGCACCCATTATGCGTAAGAAAGGCACGCACAAAACATCTCACATAAAAAACATGTACATGCCAAATTAGTACAAACGCAATTAACTCTAGTAAGGATTTCGCTGCTGTTTCGTTTCCAATATAGGATTGCAGACGAGGCCTCAAAGAAGTTTCTGCAACCCGGAGCTCTGCAGCGGCGTCCAGCCGATTTTGTTTGCTTCGTTTTGATTAAAGCTAGTGAGAAAATGTTTTTTCGCATAACGCAGTAACTAGTTGAAAATACGGACAACAGTTTAATTGCTCGATTACTTAGCGATGGGTATTCGTTATCAAAAGATATCCAAAATTGCGACAGTGATACTTTTTCAAATGTGGACTATAAAGTAGAATCACAATTTTAATCAAGCTATTCTCGTTTTTATCGGGTTCATCATATTAATCCCCCTGCAGTTGATTGACAGTGTTTTGTCGTAATTGGGTGTTGGACACCTATGTTGATTTCCCGGTAGGATTTAGGCCGACAAGCTGTCACACGTTTCAGCAACGTTTCAAATTTTTGCTAGTGTTTAAAATCGACATATTTGTAGCAAAAATGGTATAAGGTTATAATGGTGACAAATGACATAAAAATGCTACATCAAGTGTATTGTTTTGACATATGAGTAAAAATTGAATTTGAGAAAGGAGATTGTTCAATTAAATCAGCGGAGAAATAACACGAGACGTGGAGGTAATCAAGAAAGCGCCGAGATATTCGACAAAGCTTAAGGACGGAATGATGAGGTCACTTCATAAGCTTCGGTAAAGTGTGAACTGGTGGGGGGTCGATGTGCACAAATTTGGGGAGTTAGCTCTGAAAAATCAATACAATATCCGCGTTCGTCTAAGATACGCCAATTTTTTATTATTTGTTTTTAAATTGTGTTATTTAATTGGCCCATGATCT